GGTGGAACGGAAAATGTTTATTTTCCACGTAACGAATTCATCACGCACGACCGCAAAGCAGCGACAAGGATTCTGTGAAAAGGTGGAAAAATAAATCTGATTTATCCATTTCAAACGTATTTTTGCAATCAATTCGCGTCAATTTTTTGCAACGATGTTTTTTGCGGATAAGTTAGAGCCATTTTCACCCGAAAAATGGTTCCCTCACATTCGTCCAATATGAACGGTTTTGTCGAAATGAAAGCTTTGAAGGACACGAATGTGTTAAATTTTTGTTTCCCTGGGACATCATTTTTACTGTTTTTTTGTCGCCTGGTAATATTTTGGTGAAATCTTATTTGTATTTTGTCCCGACATTTATTTATGTGCATAATTATAAACAGCATCAAATCAACATATGTGAAAACTTACGTAGCTTTTGTCGTCCACGTCACCACATTTGGTGACACGCTGACCACGTCACCCTAAAACCTGGCAGTATCGTGATGGATCTGATAAGACGATTTTTTTTAGTTTCAAACTCTCCATTTCTAAAATCGGGTTCTTCTTGGTATAAAAACTTGAATGGATTGGGATAAATATGAAAATTTCTAGAGGACAGAATTTCCATAAGGAGAAACAAAATTTAATCCATCACTTTACGTGTCACGTAGTTCGCAGCTGGCTTTGAAATAATTAGCGTAATTTGATCTGGATTCAAGCTGGATTTACGATTTGTTTAAGAAACGATATAAAAAACCATAACAAGGAAGCAGAGAATGGAATTTAAACAGGGGGACGTGCATAACGTGTGTCACAAAATTTGAGTACCAAATATACATACCGTAAATACTCTATTTATAGCTCTATCCTAATTATAGCCAGGTCTCCATTTATAGTCGGGTCTGGAGGCCAGTATCGCAAAATTTTGGCCGGGTTCCTAAATGTAGCCGGGTCTATACCTACGACCTGCTTTGTCGAGTATATGTTTCTAGCATATCAAGGAAAACTAACTTTCATTTTTTAATAAGAATGCATACAATGTTAACAAAAATTTGAAAACTATTAAATCTTGATGCCAAACTTTGATTTTAATTTAGATTTCAAGTTAAATGAAAAACTTAAATGAAATTATAGCCGGGTCCGGGACAGGCAGTTTTGGATTTTAGCCCCAGCTATAAAATCCAACTATGGATTTTAGCCCCAGAGTTTTAGATACTTTGGTTGGCTCGTTTGTTAACTGCGGTGGAATTGAGAAACAAAATGATCTGTAAGCATTAATTTGTGACATGCACCATGCACGGTCCTTTATATTTAGGAGTATCGATGCAATGTAGTTTGAATCTGATTTTGATGAAAGTACGATGCTTACGTACATATGTAAAAATAAATTATGTGGCCTTGCATAAATAAGTATTTAAATACATACATGTTTGAGGATTTAGCATAATGGTTGATTTGTCATGGAATGGATGGAGCGAGAATTTGCATTTTTTTCGAAAAACTTTTCTCGTGAGGGAGAAAAATGAGAGTTATCGGTTTAGATACATGTTTTATCATAGTTGCGGTTAAAGTGAGCATTATGAAAAACCTTGAAGCATGAAGGTTCCCTTGTATTTTTAGAAGACTACAAAATCACTGTGGTTACCGATGGCATTAATTCACCATCTTCTTAATTTCATAGTTAAGAGGAGAGAAACTGATTCATTGGGCGGACCTTCACGTGAAAATACTCAGGGAAAGTTAGGTTAGTTCCGTTGAGATTATAAGCCCGACGATAAAAAGTTAAGTTAAATGGATTTTTCGTATTTTACATCAAAACACTCAAGAATTGGAAACTGGGTGAAATCGTGATTTTGTAAAGCAATTACAATTTACATGATTTTCTATAAAAAACGTATTATTTATTTCACTTTTAGAAGTGTTGTGATGAAACCAGGATAACTCCATTTTTTAACATTTTATAGGAAAAATTCAAAAATCTTAATTTATAATTCGCTTCGATGTTAAGTAAAAGTAAAGCTTGATTCCCATTCTTTTCTATTTTTGGCTAGATTGATCAACTAATATGGCAAAAAATGTCCTCAACTCTTCAAAAGTAGGTCTCATTTTGGGGTCGGAATTCCAGCATTTTGTCATCATTTTATATTTGAAAATATAAATTATGGAATTTCTTCCGCACGAGACAAAATATATATATTTGGGTATTTCAATTACATCTTGATAGAGGCATACGATGGCCGTAACAAAGTCAAACGACCAGCTTGCATTCGTTGAATTAACCCGCGCAAAACAGTCCAATCGGAACATATTGGACGGCCAATTGGAAATAGGTAGTCGGAAAGTGAGGTAGATTTCAGATTAATTATTTCCTGTTGGAATTGGTTGGATCCAATCTGACAGGCATATTGGAACTAAATCGTTTTCATGTTGGCAACTTTCATTATTCCAGTTTGAATCTTATGCATTTCATATATGATTTTTTTAATAACTCCAATCTACAAAGAATATTATTCAACTTGTAAATTGATTTATATACCAATTAAAGAGTTATAAAGCGTATACAAAATTAAATAATACTGTAGATATTTGATTAAATGCACTAGCCCTAGTTTTTCTCTGTCCGATTAAATTTCTTCCTCGCGTCTCCAGTAACATTCTTCAATTTTCTTTCGAATTCCAGCATTGCAACAGTCCCAGGTTGAAGACTGCAAGTTTTGATTGTAAACTCTAAAAGAGAATATTTCGTAAAACAACTTGCGTATGCGTTATTTTTGTTAATTTGATTTAGTAAGTTATAATGTTTACCTTTTAGAGCACCGAAACGTACTGGATCTAGTTGTTTTCGTTTTGTATTAGGAAACAAAGGTGAAGATTTTCCACTCTTGAAGACGACGCTACCTCTTCCAAAGTAAAAATTCCTCCCTCAAAAATGCAAAATAAAAAATAATTATGAATAACGTAACGTAATAAATTCATATAATTAATTACCAATTCCAATTATACGGCCAGTTGAAAAGGAATTTATCCATTTGATACGAAAACTTTTTCCAATTATTTCGTCGATACCGCAACCTCCAAGATCGACTTTTTTTTTAGAGAAACGGATGAGTAGGACTTTTCGTCCTCCCAATAAACCACGGCATAATTTGTCATTACTAATACAATAATTAATATTACAATAAAACTTTTAGAAATTTAAAAAATTACAAGATTTGTGAGATTCACACTGCTGAAATAAAACGAGGAGAAATTTATAGTTTGCGCATTTCTCGTTCGCAACGTTTAGTCCAATGGGAAATGACAAAATATTCCATCATGAATTGAAAATGTTGGCATCCAATATGAAATTTTTATTTTTCCAAAATGAATATACTTTTTAACCATTCCAAATAGAACTATCCAAGGATTCCCATATGAATTGCTTTCATGTTGGAAATATGCGAGCTTTCCAATATGAATTAGTTTCATGTCGGAAAGTTGTCAAAGGTCCAGCTGGTTCATGCATGATCCAATATAGCTACCAATTTCCAACTGGATCCAATTATATTTTTTTGCACGGGAAATCCTGGGAAAACTCGTCCAGCGCAAAAGGGGTCCCACCGCAGGTAAAATACTCACAGAGTTACCCCAAAGGCCCAAAGTCAACCGTTTGCCTCTTCCGAAAATTTACAAGTCCTTCACATCTTCATCACGAAGCAAAAGCGTTGACCGCCTGGAGTGAGGGTCAAAATTCTCAGAAAGTGCACAACACAATTTACGCAATCAGTCTATTTAAACGTAAGTCTTTTTGGTTTAAAACCAAAAGAATAAAATATAAACATCTTTCCTTTTATACCGTCCTCTTCGTTGTCGAGTCGTGATCTGAGCCGTTCTGTTGATTTTAGTCTGTTATATTGTGCTCAGACTAATTTAAATAAATTATTGTCGTAATACAAAGTAATACGTTCGTGCCATCATTTATTTATGAAGACCGTCTTTATGAAAAATTATGCAGGTGTCTTGGTTAAATCTTGTCGTGATTCTGCAGCCGCCAAAAGATCACGTGGTTACAATGTACATATGCATATTTACAAGTGCAATGCTTTTCTTATGGCCCATTCCCAAATTTAAGTCTAGAATGAGTCTGCGCGTGTAGTGGGTTCGAGGGGCTCTGAGAACTAAAACTGGAAGTTGTCCATAAGAAAAGCATTGCGTAGGATTCACGAGTTGTGTGATATAAACGATGGATTATTTTTGACAAGAGATATGGGGTTTTTTAATTAAAAATTAAATTAAATTTTCAGATTACCAATCTCCCTCAAAATATAACATGTTGCTCAGTTGACTACTACTTATCATCTATGCATGCCCCGAGAATTTTTCCCCCGAGAAGAAATCGAACGAAGTTTTATTCTCTCACTGATTTCAGCATAATTTTATTTAAGCTTAGCATTATGAAAAATCCCGAAACACTTGTTTAATCACTTATGTAAGGCTACATAATTAGCGAGGTTTTGTCACAATCGGAGCGAGACCGAGGGCTTCATCGCATTATAAGTAAATACTTTTAATAGCTTAACTCCTGTGGAACATGAATGATTGGAGTATGCATAAGCCTTTGTATAATTTGTTGACTAGATTAATGCTGTAGAAAATCTTTATGACGTTAACCTTATTAAATTAAGGTTAAAAACTAATTAAATTTGACCTGGTTACCATTTAAAAACGGAATTAAAAATGGTTTCCATTGCTTTTGTGGGCGGATTTTCTGCGGTGCAGAATGCCATTGAGACCGAGTTGTGGGGTAGTGGTAAAATCAGTTGGGACTGAATTAATGCAGACGGATTTTGAATATTTTACTGATGCAGTTTCAATTTATAAGACACAAATAACTGATTTGACAAATAAAATTAGAACATAGTACATTATTTGAACACGAATTTGCAATCACAAAGCAACTAAATATCTGAACCAAATGACACACACTTATCAATTTTGACAAGAACACCGGATTTGATTTTTCTAGTACTACAACATAACTAAACGAATAGCAAATCATCATCAACATTTGCATTACTATCATCATTTTGTGGTGTGTTATACATTGCAAACAAGCTATTGTAATCGTAAGGTATTGAATTTTGTCCCTCCGTGTTTTGTGACTCGGTACGATCCGCTAATGGCACCTGCTGATGCTGCGATTCCTGAAACTAATGTCGAATAAGTTACAGATATTCTTCGCAATGATAAATATCGACTTTATTTTTTTTACTCACCAGTTCGTCGTGATGAAATTTGAAGCAGTTGAAGACACTGCTACCAATACACAGTCGTTTTTCACAGCCAGTGCACTTGAACTGTGTCACGGTCCTCTTACCCAGCTTGGTTCTGCAGTGGAAGCAGTTGGATTTGCTCGGATAGCCATTTTCCTTTAAAACTCGTTCAGGGATGTGAATACTGGTTAATGGTACTGAAGAACGGCTCTGAGAAGGTCTCACTCTAGGTTTTCGAGGTACCGGGAACTTAATGAGAATGTTTTGGATAATCGATTTAACGACTGCTTCGTAATTTAAGCGACGGAATCCGGCTCGATCATTTTGAGTGGCATTATAAATTATCATGGAGTTATATACCGCCAGCTCGACTAAGTAGAACGCGACCTTCTTATACCATTTGTATGACTTTCTGAGACTTTGGTTTGGCTTAATTGTTTTGTCGACATTATCCACCCCACCCATAGTTTTATTGTATAGCAAAACGGTGTCGGGCTTCAGTCTCTGATTGGTTGGGTTTGTTGAAGGAGATTCGGTCATTCCATGTGGCATCAAAGTGTTCAGGAGAAGAACTTCTCGCCTATCCATCCACCTATCCATCCATAATTGTGAAGTTTTTTTTAAATAATAAATCATACTGTATAATAACTATAATTGTTACACCCACCTTTCTATAAAAACTTCTCCATCGCTAAAGGTTTCAATCTCTCCTTTATGGAGCTTTCGAGTCATCCTTACAGTCTTTGGCATGCCTTTGCGACGTTTTTGAACTGTTACTAAAACATATGTAAGTCGATCCTTCAACATTCTTGCTAATTTGAGGCTGTGGAACCAATTATCGACTATAACGCGGCTACCAGAATCTAAAAATGACTGCAATAGGGTCAGCACGGCAGCTCCCCCGAATCCAACAGCTTCAATCCACGAGCGATCGGTAATTTGGGTGCTCTTTCCTTGATAAGGAAGCACATCCAGAACGAATTGTATTGCGCAATCCTCAATCAGGAAAAGCTTCACGCCGAATCTTGACCTCTTCTTAGGATTGTACTGCTTAAAGGACAGCCTCCCTTTGAATGGAAATAAGCTTTCATCTGTGCATAGATCTTTCCCAGCATGAATTGCCCTTTGAAAATTCAGCAGCAGGTCTGAGATAAAACTTCCTAGTTTTATGAAGCGGTTTTAATTGTCTTATGGGACAGCTTCGTTATTAACGAAGTGGAGAGCTCTCAAAATGGATATGAACCTAATGCATAATAAATAATGTCATTCATTCATATTTTGATACATACATATTTGTGTATAATTATTGATTACCTATCTCGACTCATAACTGTTGGGAAAAAGGGGGTCGAAACTAAAGAGTCCGTAGACCAGTATTCTTTATACGATGATTTTTTCACAAGCGTCATGGCCAGAATAACAGCAAAGAAACGCCAGATATCAGCGGCATTGACCGGAGACCAACTAATAAAAGCGCGGGGGGATATCTCCTTCACTTGTTCGGCATATCTGTTCGACTCAACAGCTATCGTTTCCACCATGGAGTCGTCGATAAATTTTCTTAGAATTTCTAGCGGCGAAAATCGGGATTTATTTGATCATCTGGACCTTGAAAATTGTGCACATGAGGGCGAAATTCCTGTTCCCAATTGACAAGTTCTTCTGGCTAGATAATAAACAGAAGAAGTCACATAATACAAAGAATTGTCACAAGCATAGCAAAAATTATCCACCTCGTCATTATCGCTCTCGGACTCATCTTCGGTTGCATCGTCGTCTTCCGAAGCAGGATCGTGGTGCAGATCGTCATCATCACTTTCGGAATTCCGCATGGCCAGATTTTCAAAGTTTGCGAGTACCTGACAAAAAAAGCAAATAAAATAAATTGGAATCGATATTGGAGGAATATTTATATAAATGCATATTACTACAACATATAAATACGAAACTTACTTGATAAGATGACGCAGTTACTCTTCCAACTATGTGCATACAGCTCCCCTTCAAAAAATACTACTTCAAGCGTGAAGAAAAAGCAACAATATAAAATGAGTAGAAAATAAAGCAGCTGACTGAATTTTCTCCGTCGCTTTATTTTTATTTTTTTCCTACACCTTATTGATGTAGCCCGGTCTCAATGCGAAAAAGTTGGCCTACACCTTATTGGTGTAGTCCGTCGCCAAGGGTAAAAATTTGGCCTACACCTTATTGATGTAGTCCGTCGCCAAGAGATCGCAACGGCCCTACACCTTATTGATGTAGTCCGTTTTTAAAAGGTTAATGCAAATTTAATTCGAAACACAGCGGCAATACATATTAATAAAGGATTTTTTATAATGGAGGTATAATTCTGTATTTACTGGAGGTATAATTATTATTGCAAATTTGTCATAAAATCATTAGCTAATTATGTAATTGATTAGTTCCCAATTTTTACAATGACCGGAATAAAATAGTTTCCAAAACCAAAGTTTTCTCCAGTAATTACCCAATCAGAAACTTAAAGTTATAATAACGTTATTTCTACTATGTTAAATAACTGTAAGGGGTGTCCGCCTTGACAACACTCACATCACACACAATGCAACAGAAATTTAACATAAAACTTACGCCTGTATTACATTGTCCAATGTAGATCCTACTCTTGACTCACACTGTGGTCACTTATTCGTGACACTTGATCAACTCGAATCTTACACTGCGGTTCTGTTGTTTTTACGATGTAGATTAATGCAAATACTACAATAATATTACTCAACTAAGTATTGCTACTCTACATACATACTTTATTTTCATAGCAAATGTAAATCAATTACAAAAATGAATATTACCAGTATAATCTCTTAAAAACTCTTGAGCTGATGTTGGTTTGGAAAAATTGCTAAAATATAAGCCTACTAAAAACGGAGATTTGTGATTTAAAACATCACTACTCATTAAGATGGGCCAAAATTGTTTTTTACTACTGCGACTCACCGGCAAGCCGTCTATACTTACATTAAATTCAATTATGTCTGATATTGGTCGAAATGAATTAAGCTGTGCATAAAATTCGAGTTGTTTTCTAATTCCGAAATGAAAATATTTGCCACCTTTAATTTCTTGTAAGTTATAAACTAGTGGAGTTTTAAGCAAAGTCTTCGAGCAATTAGGCATGTCACTGTGGGTATTGTTTGCCTTTAAAATAACAAGTAAATGGTCTACCGCTGTCGAGGTGACGTTATGCTGCACCGCCCACAGTGCTAATTGCTCAGATAATCCACACTCACTTTTCTCTGAAACTTCGTAACCTGATTCTAGTTCTAAACTATCTTCACTATCTGAACTTAAACTACTTTCACTGCTACCTAAACTATCCATGTCATGATTATGCAAATTTAAACCTGAATGACTATTATTTCCTACACTTTCTTCATTTCTCTCAGCGTCTTGAACTAAATCTTGAAACATGCGTTGAATACGCCGTCTTTTTGTTCTTTGAGTTGACATAATGGGGTTATTTAGTTGCTGGACTCTGTTGCCGTTGAGGACTGGTTCTTTGGTTTTGAAAATCGAAAAAAATCCATAATTTTTTGTTTTATACTGGATTCCGTTTTATCCTCTGCTAACAGTTTGCGATTCTGTTTTGTTGCTTCTAAGAAAAGAAACAAAATTAATATGCGCAAACTGTGTTACAACTATACAAAATTGGATATGAATTACCAAAAATGCATTCTAGAATATTGTGATGAGTATTAAATGCGTTGTTATCGATCCCCCTTCCAGTGAAACTATATCTCGTAGTCAGCTGAGAACTTATTATTCGCTTTAGGATTCCTTTCACCGTCTCGTCCAAATTTTTTCCACCAATTCCTTTCAGGTACGATACCTAAGAAGAATTAAAATAATTAAAATTGCATAATTATATACAAAAGCTGGGAAACAAATATACGAATTACCAAAAGCCTTTTCTCGTCCGGAAGAATTAGTTGTTGCTCGAGGTCAGATAATTGGGCCTCAGTTTGTAGGGGAAAGTCTGGGAGTGAACTAAAATCCAGATGATTTGAGTTGGTACTTGTTGACGAGGACCTCTGATTTTCAAGTAAATCACGTATGGCTGCAACGTCTTCTGCGATCTGTCGCTGCCCCTGTGATAAAATTGCTAGCTGTTTCAGCACTACCCTTTGAAACCCTGAACAAAAAATTTAATATTATAATAAAGCTTAACAAAGATATATGAGATGAGAAAATTTAAATGACCTGCTGATTCTCCTTCCCGTGATGAGGATTTTGGAGTAGTTGCCTCCTTCGTAGTTCTGTGCGTTGACGGAATCACCAGTGCCGCAGGGCTCAGGTCCACAATATTGCTTGAGAATGGGTGTGGATTCTCCCTTACTTCTATTGTTGCGCCAGAAGCTGCGTCAAAATATAATTGCGATGTTATTCCAGATATTTCAGATTCATCCAAATGCATTGACTGAGATGAGTGAGTGCCTGCGAATTAGTTCATATTAATACAAAAACAAAATGAGAAAGCCAATGAGTGGGCGAGTGAAATTATATAATGAGAATTTCTAATGTTTTTGACCTACTTGAAAGGAAGTTAGTTTGTGGTAATGCTACTGGTGGAATTGGGACCTTGAGCGGGGAGATTTTAGTAATGTTGTCACTTTCAGAACTGCTGCTGCTTTGCCTTCGATCTGTTCGATGTCGTTTTTGTGGTAATCGTTTTTCTCTCTCTTCAATTTCCGAGGTGATTTCAGCCAAGTTTGCTCCCTCTGCACCGGCAATGTATGTTTCTATAAAATCAGATTGAAATTATGTATGAATGCTGCATAATTAAGAACGTAAATATGGGTAAATCTTACCAAATTGTCCTAAAATCCGACATTTACAGAAACCCCATGCACTTTTTGGAGTTGAATTGGGATCTGACTGTTTTTTTAGGTCGGCTGCAGTTGGTCGTGAGGGCCAACGACACTCCTTTTCGCCAACAAGCCAAGTTCTGGGTATTACAGCTACCGCTTTTGGGGATTCCTCAAAAAATTCCACCACAACAAACGGCAGCACAGTTGTATGCGACATGAATTCAGGTTTCGCAATTGCGAATTTAATAACCAGTAATTTCTTGAAAAATTATAATATGTGGGCTCAAAGTACACTGAGTTAAAACTACAAAATGGAGACTGTCGAGCGAGCGGTGTGATCAGCTTACAGTAATGTAACACTGGATTAACGTAAATTTCACGCCATGCATTTGTGGGCGGAGCTTGATTGCTTCAATGTTTATTCTACGTAAAATGTACACTGAGAATGTTACACAAATTAAATAACAATCTAGCAACGCAAATATAACATTTCTTGAAACTGTGAAATCAAGGTCACTTTTATAATGTTAATTTTGCGTAATCGACCAATACATAGCGACACAAATATTACATTCACACAAATAATACACTCAATCTGTATTTATACCGTTTTAAAAACTTTGCTTTCTGATTGGGTAGCTTAGAATGCTTGCCACAAATGCAGTAACATTATTCATCATTTGAGTGACACATTTCGAAACCTGAATTCCAAAGTTTCCTCCACCAAACAACGACTCAACTCCTCTTCCGACTCCACTCAAAGCTGGCACAGCTTTCGCCTAAAACCATAAATTATGATAAATATGAAACTTTCCTAATTGTTTTGTCTACAATGGTTTTCGAGCGTTTTTTGAAATTCCCAATTCGAATTTTACAAAATTCGTTTTGGCGAAATTCGAAATTCACCTACGACTTCATACTCCTTAGTCTCACATAGGGAATTTTCCTTTCATAATTTCAAAAAACGCTCGAAAACCATGGTAGACAAAAAAAAATTGGAAACTTTTGGTGAAAACGGTATTCAAAAATATTGACCCCTCTTCGCGCTAGAGGGCGCACGCCAAGCGATATTTTCGACTTTGAGCTCCTCCCACTCCGCGAGGGGGGCAGTTTGAGGGGGACTGCCACCGTGGGTTTCAGAAAAATCAGGTCTACGAACCCTGAAAATCTTGTCCAATTCAAATTTTTTTCTGTCTTAAGAAATTCCATTTGAAATAATGGTTACTCTCATGGGAATCAGGCAGGAAGTTTTTGGGAGTATCAGATTCAAAACATAAGACATTGGGAGATATTATTTGTGAAAATAGTCAGACTGTTCAAATACAGAGAAATATTTTCTTGACCAGGGCGGGAACGTAAGAAATTTGTAATCAAAACAGCTTTGCTTATTTTCATATTCAGCCATAATAAGTCGGTATTTTGATTGTTTCGGAAATATTTGGGTACCATGCAATCCCACGGACAGGGCCAGATTGGACTTGAACTTATTTATTGACTAATTAAAACAACGAAGTAAAATAAAAATTAAATTAAAAATTTTTTAAAATGGTGAACAAATTCAGTGTATGGTGATTGCGAATTTATTTACACATTTGGAAACGATGATACGTTTGCTGTCTTCCTTATATTTCGTTTGTTCATGGTGAGTTTCGCATAATCTTTCCTTGTCCAAAAGTCCAAAGCTTAAGCAAGTT